GTTTTACCTCTGGGGGCAGGCATTTGGCACAGCAGTCAGGACACTGCCAAGGTTTGATTCCCAGCTCTGCTTCTGACTCCAGCTTCCGGACAACGTGCACCCAGGAGGGAGCAGGTGACAGCCCAAGTACTTGGGTCCCTGCCACCAGTTCTGGGCTTCTGGTTTTGGCTTGGCTCAGCCCCAGCTGTTGTGGGTATTTGGGGAGTGAACCAGCAGGTGGAAGATCTCTTTTCGCTGGTCCCTGTCTTTCTGCCTTTCAAATAAAAATAATTTTTTAAAATGCCCTATTTTCCATCACTGTATACTGCTCCTCCATTGTCTCTCCTGGAAACCTGTTCCCTGGGGGAGAATGGCAATTTGTTTCCTCCAATTCATGAATTCAACATGTGCGTGCTGAGGGAGACCCATGCCTGCCATGGACAGCACTAGGTGCTGACGGGATCCAGGGGCACACGGCAGTTAGTACCATTTTTCCATCCTGCCTGCTACAGGAAGGAAGTTTGCCAACTTCCTCTGATTTATTAGTGTTCCACACATCGTTGTCATCCATCCACTCACCCCAACACCTTAACAGCTCTTCCGCCGTCCAAGGTGTCCCTTGGGCCACCGCTGGGCTGGACACTGAGGGTGCTCAGGGCAGTACTGGTACAGCAGCACTGCGACATGGCCAGTGTCCTGGCTGCCTTGGAAGCAGGGCCATAGGCGGAGGAACCGAGCCGCAGCCCCCAGCAGCTGAGGCTGGACAGGTGTCCTTTTTGACTGTAAAAGCAGCAAATCCAGAATCCAGTTTGCCATGCACGATCTCTTACACTTCAGGGACACAGCCTGGTCCTTGGGTCTCTCTGTCCACCTTTATCTTCCAGACGCTGTGCTGCCCATCTGATCCCTTTGTTCAGCTGTCCCGGGCGTCCCCATTCCAGTCACATCCCCCTCACGACAGGAGATGCTTCAGGACCCCAGAGGGCCTGGGGGCAGAGCAAACAGACATGTGGGAGTGGGTGAGGCATCGTTCCAGGGAAAATGAGGAGGAGGGCAGAAGAGGGGCGAGGGCGATGTGGAGACAGAGGCGCGTCAGCGAATGAGGGGAGAAGTACAGGGGCCGGGTGCCCTGCTCCGACCTCGTCAAGGCCACGTGGCAGGTGCCGGCCTTTCTGTGAGGGCTCAGGTGCCTGACAGGGCCGGGGCGGCCAGCACAGCACGCAGCCAGTCTCCAAGGGTAACGTCTGCTTCGAAACTGTGAACTGGGAGAAGGAAGCCCTCCCAGCATCCATCATGAGCTGCTTTTGAAAATCACTGTTTTGGAGCACAGCTGCTTCCTGTCGCTCAAGCCTGCACTCTGCTCCCTTCCAGGTGGAGCCTGCTGCCTGCTGATTTAATCCCCGGGGTTCCCTCTGCCTCCAAGATCTCACAGCCGATTCTGGGCCCAGCTTCCCTTCACGCTGCCGCTGCCCCCAGGCTGGAGGGGGGCTCTCTGCTCCTCAGGCACAGACAAGCTAATTCAAGACAAACCTAATTCTCCTGTCCAATTAGAAACACACAAACAATGTAATATTGGCACAGGAACCAATCATAACAGCTTAAAACCTTTTACAAGCCTTAAAAAGAAGCACACAAAAGAACCTCATCATAAGGACAAGGGACAGCCCTAGCAGGCACAAAGGTGGGCAGGGGTACGGGGACCCCCGCCCTCCCCCGGGCCACACGCACAAATTGAGGGTCAAATGGAAGACGACCCAGAGTGAGAGTTGCTGGGGGCTCTGACCTCAGGGCCCCCGGGGATTCTGAAGCCTGAGGAGGGGCAGGGACCCCACGGTTGCACCCTCAAAGGCGACACACTGATCTTCCTTGATGGATTTGAAGTGACGCCCTGACAAGAGGGACTGCATTTCAGAGCACCCAAGAGTCCCTCTTGAGCAAGCACCCCCACCGTGAGACCATGGTCTAAACTCAGACAGGAACAGCCGCTGCATCCCACTGGGCAGGAGCTCAGGCTTCAGACAGATGGGCTGCACCTGGGTTAATGATCCGATTGTAATTTGTCCATGTTCCACATATGATTTAGGCTGACACCTGGATTAATGTCAAGAATATAATTGTGGGGCCGGCGCTGTGGCGGCTCTGGCCTGAAGCACCAGCATCCCCTATGGGCGCCGGTTCTGGTCCTGGCTGCTCCTCTTCCTATCCAGCTCTCTGCTGTGGTCTGGGAAAGCAGTAGAAGGTGGTCTAAGTCCATGGGCCCCTGCACCCACGTGGGAGATCCGGAAGAAGCTCCTGGCTTCAGATCAGCACAGCTCCAGCCGTTGCGGCCAATTAGGGAGTGAACCAGCGGATGGAAGACCTCTCTCTCTCTCTCTCTCTCTCTCTCTCTCTGCCTCTCCTCTCTCTGTGTGACTCTGACTTTCAAATACATAAATAAATCTTAAAAAAAAACATTGCTTTGAGCTTCGGGGTTGAGAGTTCTCTAGGGCATGGGCCACTCTGCACTGGCAATAAAGGACCATCATTTTATCAGCGTGTGGGGCTCCTCCGTTTGCACAGCAGATTCTGGTGTGGAACAAGGCTCCTCCCATGTGACTTCAAGGGTACTCTTCTAAACAAACAGTGATCTCTCGGTGTTTTCAGGGAAGCTGAAAGCAATGATCTCTCGCCGACAGAGCAGGACTCCAGAGAGGCTGGCAAGAGATCCTGGCGAAGGGAAGGCTCCGGGAGTCTTACAGCCGCCCGTCCTCAGCAGAGCTCAGGGTGCTGTCAGCACCAGCGCCTGTAATGCCTGAGCCTGCCCGTGTGCTGCAGCAGGTGTCTGCACAAAGCCTTTCTCAAGTGTGCACAGTCCACACGGCGTGGGTGTTTCTGAAGTGAACAAGCACTCGCGTTAGAATTCAGATCAGTGTTTCCATCTAAAAGGGACTCAACACAGCCTATCAGCCACACGACCCATGGGGGTGGTGGGCAGAGGTTGAGGGGTCTCCTGCTGGCTAGAAGAAATACAGGCTGCCCCTGAGTGAGGTGCTGACACCACCAACCTGCAGGAAATGTGTAATCAGGGTAGGCAAGCAATTACCTTCTCGGTAAGCACATACTCCCAACAGCACGGTGGAAAAAAGCAGAGATCAAGGGTGGGGGTTGGCGCAGCAGCCGGGACCCCGCTCGGGTGCCCACGTCCACGTCGGAGTGCAGGGCTGCAGCCCCTGCTCCATCCCTGACTCCAGCTTCCTGCTACTGGGCGCCCTGAGAGCAGCAGACTTGCCTCACATTCCCCGGTCCCTGGACTGGACGGAGTGCTTGGCTCCTGGCTCAGCTGCTGCGTGCATTTGAAGAGTGAACCAGTGGATGGGAGATCTCTCTTCAAGTATTAGAAAAGCACAATTGTCTAAAGTCAATCTATTTTATGTAAAAAATAACTTTTGCAGGGAAAGGGATAGGACAGGGCCATGACTATTATGGTCCAGGGTGAGATAAAACGAATTTGCAGTGATGTGTGGGTAGTAGACCACTAGAATAACTTATGTGACACACGGTAGCTGGCTGTTTGAATATCTGAGTCTCACACTTTGAGGCCTTTCAGTGTGCTTATCTCAAGGTTAACAGTCCTCTGATGTCATGGTGTATTCAGGGTGTGGATGTGAGTGAGGCAGGAGGCACTCACAACAGTGTTGCTGGCAAGTGAGAAGCAAACAAAACACAAAACAGAGATAGTGTTACCACAGGATACTGATTAGCACTGTGGTTTTATTTAAAGTTTTTCCCGTTAGACACACACACACACACACACACACACACACACAGCTCCCATCTGCTGTTTCACTCCCCAGATGCCAGCAATGGCTGGAACTGGACGAGGCAGAGTCCAGGAGCCTGGAAGTCCACCACGATCTCCCATGTGGGTGACAGGGCCCAAGTACTTGAGCCATCTTCTGCTTTCCCAGGTGCATTAGCAGAGAGCTGGATCGGAAGTGGAGCAGCGGGGACTTGAACAGGCTGATACAGAAGGTCACCACTGTAAGCGGCAGCTTAACCCACTGTGCCCCAGTGCGGGAGGGTGAGTCAGGCACCCCAGGAGCTCCCTTTGTCTCCCTGAGCCCAGGCCCCCTCGACCCTGACCCTGACCCTAACCCCCACAACCGCTTTGTAACTGCCTCTGGGCTACCCAGCACAGGTCCCTGTGGCCGTCACTCACTGAGTGCCTGCCGCCCGCAGCCCAGCCTGTCTCCCCCTCCACCGGCTCCAGGCAGCTGCCCAGCACAGCTGCCAAGTGCAACACTCCCCACGCCGGGCTGTGGCTCCTGCCACCTAACTCCCTGGCACACAGCTTCTTAGGTCAGACCTCCTCGTACCTGTGTGCCTGCCTTCCCACCACGGCCACTGTAGGGTGAGGAATTCTGATAAGGAACGCACACACAGCTAGCTACAGGTGCCGGTGTGATGTGAGCTTTGCCTGTGTTCTTACAAACACTGAGGGCAGCGCTGTCATTATCCCTGTGAGGCAGAGGGGAGGGCTTTGCACAGATCACGGGGAAAGTACGAGGCCGGCTAGGATTCCAGCCCTGGAAGCTCGTCTCAGCCTAGGCTCTGGGCTACAGGGTGGTGGTGCCGCGAAGTTCTCTAAGTTCCTGGAGGGAGCCCCGGGTTTCAGCAGCATGCCTGGCCCCACTCCACAAGCTGTAGGCCAAGGCCCCCGACTGTGAGCTGGCCAGAGCAAGTCCGGGATCTCAGCCAAGCACAGCGCCTGGTAAAACCCTGGCGCCGACCAAGCCAAGCGCTGCGCTGGTTCCGGAATGTGTGGCTGCCATCACCTCCCGCATAACACAGCAGAGGCGCGGGGCGCAGAGCTGCATGGAAGGAGAGGGCCCCGGGGGTGCTGACTGCGCTCGGCCTCGGTCACGGTGCTGGACAGCCCGGGGTGACGGTCAATGCACTAAATCCCGGAACATCCCCACTGCTATTCATCTTGACTCTAAATTAAACTATGACACCATCATGGGCCCCCTGTGCCTCCTTACGTGTAGTTGTCGAGTGCGCTAGGTTCTCCCAAGGGTGCCGCTGGGTCTGTGGTGGAGTACAGGGGCCGGGTGCCAGCTGTGGTCTGCAGAGGAGAAGCCCTGTGTCCCCGGTGAGGCCGGCCGGCGACTTCAAGGGTCGGCCCCGTGCTCGGACGGACGCTGGGCACCTGTGCGCCTGCAGGCTCGGTCAGGGGCGCAGTCGCGGGTAGCGGGCAGCGGGCAGCGGGCAGCAGGCAGCGCAAGCCGGGCCCCTCCGCTGAGCTGGCCCTGCCCGCGCCAGCCGGTGCAGCTCAGCCTTTCGCACACCCCGCGGCGGCCCCGCCTTGCTCCCTTTAAAGGGCCAGCTCCGCGGGGTTCGCGTTCGAACGCACCCGGCGCCCTGCTCGGGCTCCCATTGGCCGCGCGGCCGGCCCGACGGTTGGCGCCATCTGTGATTGGCGGCCGGGGCCCATATAAGGCGGGGCGGCGGCGGCGCCGCCGAGGCCGGACGCGGGCAGCGGTGCTGGACGCGGGCAGCGGCTGTGGCTGGGCAGGCGGCGGGAGCGGCGGAGTGTCTCCGGATCCGCGCTGCCGGGCACCGGCGGCATGGAGTTCCAGCGGGAAGCCCACCGCATCGTCAGCATCTCTCTGGGCAAGATGTCCAGCGCGCGGGCGCAGCGCGGCGGCGGGCGGCTGCACAAGAACCTGCTGGTGTCGCTGGTGCTGCGCAGCGCCCGCCAGGTGTACCTGGGCGGGCCGGGGGCCGGGGCCGGGGCTGGGGCCGGGGCCGGGGCCGGGGTGGGGCCGCCCGCGCGCCCCGCCGCGCCCCGCGCGCCCCGCGCGCCCCGCGCGCCCCGCGCGCCCCGCGCCGACGGCGGGCCCCTGAAGCGCGTGGCGGCGGGCGCGGGCGGCGGCCCCGCGGAGCGCTCGGCGCCGCTCAAGAAGCCGCGGCGCGCGGGCGCGGACGACGAGGACGCGGACACCGACGGCGTGGCCCAGCTCGTCAGCGTCTTCGGCTCCGGCTTCTCGGGACTGGTGCGGGATGAGGCGGCGGAGGCGGCGGAGCCGCGCGCGCTGAGGGACCTGCGGCCCCGGAGCGCGGCCGTCGTGGCCCTCTAGGGCCCGGCCGCGGGCGCGGGTCCACTGCCCCGCAGCTCGCCGGAGGAGGCCCGATGGACGCCCGCATTCCGCGGCGGAGCGCACCCAAGCCGGCGCGGGAGCGCCCTGCGGGCCTCCGGCCTTTGTTGTATAAAGGTCGGGAGCCAGGCGGGGTTTGTGCGGCGTGTTCTCCGTGGTCGTGTCGGGTTTTGTATGAAGACGTACTTGCGTGTCCCACGCGTATTAAATATTTTGGAGCAGCGTCACTGCCTGGTCTGTTGCGGGGGAGGCGCGGCGAGAGGCGCTGATGCCCTGGCCCGCAGCCCCTCTGCGGACCCTGTGCGATGTAAGGCCAGGCTTACGGTGTCTGATTAATGCGGACTAGTGTAGCTGTCATACACATACCAAAAAAGTTTTCTTAGCGGTGCTTTTGTCTTTGTGCATCTTCTGTTGTTACTGAAAAGGGAAAAAAAAAGAAAACTGGTCTCGGTAATAGCTTGCTTTAGGAGCCTGTCTGGATCCGACCTGAGCCGTCCAGGCCCGGTGAATGTCAGGAGGGAAATCCCGTCTGCTGTGAAATTGTAGAAAACACGTTGGTGCAAGGGGACTTCCTCGGTCAACCAGAGAAGCTAGGCAGGTGCATGTCGGGAAGCAGAAATTCCAGACTTTGTCCCCAAGTGGTGACATCATTGTTCCGGGCGTGGTGACAGCCAAGGCACCTCTAGGTTTGACTACAATCATTGTTCAAAGCTGTCTAAAGGAAAATGTTCAGTGGTTGAAAGAGACACAGTATTTCAGAAGCAAGCTGATGAGGGAATGGTGTCGCCAGTCCCCTAACGGTGGCACTGGCGTAGCAGCTTGGAGTAAACTGAGCAGGAAGTAGACAAAACCGCAGGCTGTGGGCATTGGGCAGAAGGAGCTGTGAGGGTACCCTGGCCTTAGCTGAACCCCAGCCCTGAGAGCTTTGGTATTTCTGCAAATCCAAGTGGTTCCTTGCGCACAGGGAAGTTTCTGTGTTACGTAGTCCTCCATCTCCAGGGAGGGTCTTGTTAAACTGACTGCTTTTTCCTTCAGAAATTAGCTACTGAAACTGTTTTGGCCACCAGGGGCCATTGCGAGTGCTGACTGCTTAACCTGGAGGTGTCCCGGCACTGATTGTGCAGGCATTTCCCCTCTTGCACAGTATCCTGATACAGCTAGCGTTTGCTGAGGGCAGGGGAGATGCTTTCAGCGAGACCAGAGTTCCTGCTGATTCTTGGGTCTGCACTGAGATGAACCCTCGACCATGAGTCTGCTTGATGGAAGTGTAAGTGGACATCGGTGACAGGGAGGACGCCTTGCAGGGGTCAGAAAACACCGCTCTCTTCTGCTGTAGGTGGTGCGATGGTTAGACAGAGTACTTGGGTGTTTGTGTTGTGTTGTTTTGTCATCTTAACTCTGCCCTGAGCCAGGAACCTTGGACAAGTTCATCTCTGTGCCTCCGCACTTTTCAAGTGTGAAACTCAGATGATTGTACCTACCTCGTGGCTGTGAGAATTAATGTGCGGACACTCTTCAAAAGTGTTTCATGCGTAGTAAGCACTCAGTGGCCACTCACATGAAAAAATACTTGAAAGATCTCCCACCCACTGGTTCACTCCCCAAATGCTGTGACAGCTGGGGCTGGGCCAGGCTGAAGCTGGGAGCCTGGAACGCAGTCCACGGTCTCCCGTGTCGGTTCCAGGAACCCAGGTACCTGAGCCCTCACTGCTGCCCCCGGGTGTGCGTTGCAGGAAGCTGGAGCTGGGAGCAGAACTGGGACGGACCCACACACTCCCGAGTGGTGTCTTAGCTTCTGTGCCAAGCGCTGTCCATGTGGTTGTACATTGTGTGTAGTTGTGAGAAAGAAGGAAGGAGGATGTTTTGAAGTTCAGTCTGTGAATGCTGGGTTGTTTTTCTTCAGGGCACCGAGAGCCAAGAGGCACAGTTTGTGGCCAGGTGTGCTACCCTGAAGCCTTCGGGTTGTGGTTGACAACCTTTGTCGGGGGAGTAAGCAGAGTGAACAACTCTGGAGGGAGCAGAGTGCTGTGGAATGCAGGTAGTTCCTGTGGGGAGTGAGGGAGACTGGCTCAGTCATTTTCGGCCTGAGTGCTTGGTAAGCCATACTCGATGGGGTCCTGGACGAAAGCCTTCCCACCGCCGAGATATGGTTTTCACACAGCTAAGTCAGTGCTGGGACTCCAGGTTTTGGCACCAACCCTGTCTTGACCACCGTGGGAGAGCAGGACCTGGTCGTGTGATCAAATTAGCCTTAGTTCTGCTACGGGAAAAAGGCTCTGACAGCCACATCAAAAAACCAGCTCTCTGAAGTTCTTTTTGAAAAGTACCTCGAGAAAAGTCCATCTATCGGGAGTAAGTGATGTGTCAGCACAGTGCCGTTCAGACGTGTCAGGCTAAACCTGGCCCTTTTCAGAGACTGTCGGTTGTACTTGGGTGGGGGGATACTAAGCGGGAAGCCTGACCTGCCCCCCAAGTCGCCCAGCTGTGCTGTATGGCACTCAGTAACCCTGCTCCCGTTCCCCCAGGCTGGATGTGGGAGCGAGCACTGGGAGGGAATGGGTCGAGAGGCTTCGTGGGATAAAGATGTAGAAGTATGCGGACGATGTGAGTGGCAGCTCCGTCTCATCACTGGCATCCAGAGCTTGCAAACCTCAGCCTGGCAGCCTGGGCAGCCCGAGCCGGAGCCTGTGTGATGCAGTTGGCGTGGGGCTTGATGGACTTTTTTTTCTACTTCAAAAATTTCAGTTCACTGAATAACCAAAGAATTTCTGATCTCTTGCCCTAAATATTTTGCTCTTGTCCTGTTCATGAATATTTTTATTCCCTAGCCTGCCTTTTATCACAGCAGTTCTTTCTTGAAAATGAGAACCAGGGCAACGCTGAGCCAGCCTTCCCATGACTGAGACACCGTTGCTGCGAGGTGGGAGTGAGGCCACCCGGGGGCCTGGCCCGCCGCGGGAGCAGTTGGCCGCCCAGCCTGTGAGCCGCCAAGCAGATTTAGAGTTCTACAGTAGAAAGCCTTGGGAGGAAAGCGGCAGCGGCAGCGGCACGGCTGGTGCTGAGTCGCTGTGAAGGCAGGAGTTCGGTGCAGTGGTTTAGATGCCGCTCAGGACGCCTGCATCTCCGTTCCTGGCTCCGGCTTCCTGGGAGGCAGCAGGTGATGGCCCAAGTACAAGGCCCCTGCCCGCTGCGTGGGAGGCCTGGGTGGAGTCCAGGCTCCTGGCTCCAGCCTGGCCCAGCCCAGCAGTTAGAAGAGCTCTCTGTCTTTCACATAAGGTTGTAAGTTGTGATCTAACTCATGCCCCAGAGTTTTCCAGAAACAACTGTTGAAGATGCAGTCGAGAATGAGCATGGGAGAGCAAAGTGTGAAAGGACCCACACATTCACGAATGCCTCCAGTTCTTTGAACTTCCGAGTTTTGACAGATCTCACTGATTCACTCCCCAATGCCTGCGACAGTGGGGCTGGGCCAGGAGGAGGCCAGGAGCCTTGAAGTCAGGCTGGGTCTCCCACACGGTGCAGCACCCAAGCGCTCGAGCCACTGCCTCTGCCTGGCAGGAGTGCTTACCAGGACCCAAACCCCGGTTCTCTGGCATGAGCTGTAGGTGTCCTAGGAGCAACCCTAGCCGCTGCACCGCCTGCTTGTCCTGCTCTCACCTCACCTCCCTCCTCCGTGGGCTGAGGGTTTCAAAAACTTAGTCCCTGTACAGCACGCGCTTTCTCCCAAGAGACACGGGCCAGCGTCCTCACAGGGCTGCACCCCTGGGGACATCAGCCAGCGTCCTCACTGAGCTGTATCCCAGATGACATTGGCCAGCGCATCCTCCCTGGGCTGTACCCCAGGGGACATCGGCCAGCGTCCTCCCTGGGCTGCACCCCAGGGGACATCGGCCAGTGCGTCCTCCCTGGGCTGCACCCCAGGGGACATGGGCCAGTGTGTCCTCCCTGGGCTGTACCCCAGGGGACATCGGCCAGCGTCCTCACAGGGCTGCACCCCAGGGGACATCGGCCAGCGTCCTCCCTGGGCTGCACCCCAGGGGACATCGGCCAGCGTCCTCACAGGGCTGCACCCCAGGGGACATCGGCCAGCGTCCTCCCTGGGCTGTATCTGGAGTTTGCCTCAGACCTCTGGATCCCTGCAGGAAGGAGAAGCCTCCAGGGCTGCATTCCTGGCAGAGCTGGTGGTTTCTGCTCTCAGGTCGGAGCTGGAGTTGCGAGTGGGGGAGAAAGTTGATTGGCAGCTTTGGAAGGTGTGGGAAGGGCTGGTTCTCACTGCTGCTGGTCATCTTTATCAGGTGAGTCCACTGGCCTGGCCGGGAGCAGGCCTGGGGTGTTTGCTACTTATTGCGAGTTTTAGGTGATACTGCGTCAGGGGACTTGGTCGTAGGAAGCTCCCAGGCTGTGATGCGCCCTATCCCTCGTTTATAGGATGAGATGAGACTGCTGCCGCGTTCCCGTCCATGTAGAATGAATCAGCCCTGGCCCCAGCCACACTTTTTCCATATAAACTGCATCTCTACCAGAGTGTCTCAGTCCCGGGACCGCCGTTGGGCAGGTGGGCACTGTCCAGCCCCTGGTGCCTCAGCGTGGTCTGTGGGCAGCACAGGTGACCTCTGAGCTCACTAGAAAGGCAGTCTCAGTCTGCAGTGCAAAAATCTGTCTGAGGTTTAGCAGGATGCGTGGGTAATTCGCCCAGAGTAAAGTGTGAAAAGTGGCTTATGTCCACTGCTCTCAGCATCAGGTGTGAACCCCTCAGGCGTAGGTCACCTGTGTCAGGTGTGAACCCCTCAGGTGTAGGTCACCTGCGTCAGGTGTGAACCCCTCAGGCGTAGGTCACCTGTGTCAGGTGTGAACCCCTCAGGTGTAGGTCACCTGTGTCAGGTGTGAACCCCTCAGGTGTAGGTCACCTGCGTCAGGTGTGAACCCCTCAGGCGTAGGTCACCTGTGTCAGGTGTGAACCCCTCAGGTGTAGGTCACCTGTGTCAGGTGTGAACCCCTCAGGTGTAGGTCACCTGCATCAGGTGTGAACCCTTTAGGCGTAGGTCACCTGTGTCAGGTGTGAACCCCTCAGGCGTAGGTCACCTGTGTCAGGTGTGAACCCCTCAGGCGTAGGTCACCTGTGTCAGGTGTGAACCCCTCAGGCGTAGGTCACCTGTGTCAGGTGTGAACCCCTCAGGCGTAGGTCACCTGTGTCAGGTGTGAACCCCTCAGGCGTAGGTCGCCTGTGTCAGCTGTGAACCCCTCAGGTGTAGGTCACCTGTGTCAGGTGTGAACCCCTCAGGCGTAGGTCACCTGTGTCAGGTGTGAACCCCTCAGGTGTAGGTCACCTGTGTCAGGTGTGAACCCCTCAGGTGTAGGTCACCTGTGTCAGGTGTGAACCCCTCAGGCGTAGGTCACCTGTGTCAGGTGTGAACCCCTCAGGTGTAGGTCACCTGTGGCCCAGCTCCCTCTTTCCCACACAGGACTGTGCAGGCTGAGTCACTTTCCTGTGCTGCTCTGGGCTCCCAGGAGGGGGCGTGGTCAGGGTCAGAGACTGCCCTGGAGGGAAGGGTGGGGCTGGGAATGGGCTTGGCCACAGGGAGCCCTGGAGGAAGAAGGGGCAGTCTCTCCAGGGAGGGAGGTGGGCGGCAAAGGAGATGGCTCCTGAATGCAGTCGCCCTCAAGGTCTGGTGAGGGTGGGCGGGAAAACCAGAATAGGAGGGGAGTGAGGGGCACGGAGGCTGTGATTGCAGCCTCTCCAGGAACAAGAGAACCAGGGCCAGCAAGAAAGGACCCAGGTGCAGGCCTTCAGGCTGCCCAGGGTGCGGGAACAGTGGAGCGGGGGCAGCGGGGTCTGACTCAGGAACTCCTGCGTGTGTGTCTACAAACACGTTTCCTTCCCCTGCCAAATAAACATGACCAGAAACACTAGGACCTCGTCACGATCAGCAGCTCAGCCCCAGCAAGGCAAACGGCCAGGGGCTCCTGCCCAAGCCCTGGTGCCACTCAGGGTTTCTGAGGTTTTGGTCCCTGATGCAGTAGGACTTTAAAAATCTGGCATTTTAGCATGCGTTATGAGCAAGGCAGGATTTGGCATCCTTGCCACAGAAAATGCACACGTGTGCTCACTGCTCTCTCTCTGTCACGCACACACACCGCCTCTTATTTGGAAAGCCAGTTATGAATGACGGTGGTTTCGTGGTGAGAAATTTTCTCCGCCCTCCCTCCCTGCCACATCTGCCGCTTTCGGTACTGTGCCAGGTTAGTCTGAGGCTGGCGGCAGGTTGGGGTTTGTCCAGCACGGGGGCCCTGGGTGCTGCGAGGACAAGGAAGAAGCTGGGCAGTCGGGTAAGGAGATGAAAGTAAGAGTGGGCAGGAGACACAGATGGCTGTGATGGTTTAAAGGGAAACAAGATAAAGTAACTCCAGACTCAGACCAGGAGGAATGTGAGACTAGGAAAACGGAGTGGACCCTAACCCTAGCTCGTGCCCCTGTCAGGTGGAGAGAGTTGTTGGGAACATGGGGAGGAGCAGCTCTGCGTGGTGTTGGGGTCCTCTCACCCCGAAGTTGTGAGAGTGCAAAGCAACACCACCCCTGTGCCTTTTCACGGTGTTCTGCGAGAAGGGGATGCCCAGACCACCCCAGGACACAGCTCGACTGGAGCCCAAAGCTTCCTCTGGCCTTTTTTGCTTTCTGTCCTGAATAGCTGCAGCTGTTTCTAAAAACAGACAGCTCCATCTTGTTTCTCCTGCAGCCACCGACGCCTTCATCTGGTGCCTTCTGACTTTTGGTTGACTATGCGGGCCCAGCCCGGGAGCCAGGGCTGCACAGCCTGGCCTAGCCTGGCCTGGCCTGGCCCCGCCCTCCCCCCCGCCCCCTCTGCCAGCACAGCCTGGCCCGGCCCCCTCCCCTCCCCGCGCTGCCAGCACAGCCTGGCCTGGCCCCCTCCCCTCCCCGCACTGCCAGCACAGCCTGGCCTGGCCCCGCCCTCCCCCCCGCCCCCTCTGCCAGCACAGCCTGGCCCGGCCCCCTCCCCTCCCCGCGCTGCCAGCACAGCCTGGCCTGGCCCCCTCCCCTCCCCGCGCTGCCAGCACAGCCTGGCCCGGCCCCCTCCCCGCACTGCCAGCACAGCCTGGCCTGGCCCCGCCCTCCCCCCTGCCCCCTCTGCCAGCACAGCCTGGCCTGGCCCCCTCCCCGCGCTGCCAGCACAGCCTGGCCCGGCCCCCTCCCCTCCCCGCGCTGCCAGCACAGCCTGGCCCGGCCCCGCCCTCCCCTCCCCGCGCTGCCAGCACAGCCTGGCCCGGCCCCCTCCCCTCCCCGCGCTGCCAGCACAGCCTGGCCTGGCCCCCTCCCCGCGCTGCCAGCACAGCCTGGCCTGGCCCCGCCCTCCTCCCCGCCCCCTCTGCCAGCACAGCCTGGCCCGGCCCCGCCCTCCTCCCCGCCCCCTCTGCCAGCACAGCCTGGCCTGGCCCCGCCCTCCCCCCCGCCCCCTCTGCCAGCACAGCCTGGCCCGGCCCCCTCCCCGCGCTGCCAGCACAGCCTGGCCCGGCCCCCTCCCCGCGCTGCCAGCACAAGTGCTGTAGGAGCGGTGCCGCTCCACTGTGGTCACTTCCGCTGTTGTTTTCCAGGTCCCACCGTCACCATCTTCATTTTTACTGTAAACGCGTTCCTTCAGTCTGTTCTCTGCCCCAACACTTCACTTCCTCCAACCTCAGCTGTGACAAGAAAACACTCAGCCGCATACGGCTCCAGTGATGTCAGCAGCCTCTGACTCAGAAGCCTCTGTGACTTCCTGCTGTCTCTGCACTCTGCTGAGCCGGGCACCAGGTTCCGTGTCCAGAGGCGGGTGAGCAGCTGGTCATCATCGCTCCACTTGAGACCGGACGCGGGGATATTTACGAGGGGTGCCTAACCCGGGAAGGGTGTTAGGGGAGGGTGATGGGAAGAGGGCGCTGTTTCCGTGCTGAGCCCCAAGCCGTGCTGGAGTGGGCCAAGTGGGCAGTAAGGGAGGAACCATTCCAGGTAGCTGAAGCCGCTGTGCGAAGGCCCTGGGGCCAGAGAGCAGGGGTCGCTGGATGACAAGTGCTTCCCTCTGGTGGAGAATGAGTATAACTAAGGGGGATCATCCCGGCTGGGGGTGCTGTGTTGGGGGGGAGCTGAGGAAGGCTTTTAAGATCCATCACTGGCTAAAAAACAGACAACTGAGTGAGAGAAGAAAAACTGGAGGCAAGGAGAAGCAGCGGCCAGCCAGCGGGCAGGAAGTGGCCCCACGGTGGCGCCTCTGAGGCATCTGTTGTGGTCGCCTTTTGTTGTGATTTATGTGCATATATTTTTTTTAATTTTATTTATTTGAAAGGCAGAGTTAGAGAGAGAAGGAGGAGGAGGAGGAGGAGAGAGAGAGTCTTCCATCTGCTGGTTTACTCCCCAAACGACCTCAACGGCCAGGGCTGGGCCAGCCTGCAGCCTGGAGCTTCTTCCAGGTCTTCCGTGTGGGTGCAGGGCCCAAGCACCTGGGTCATGTCTGCTGCTTTCTCAGGCCATCAGCAGGGAGCTGGATGGGAAGTGGAGCAGCTGGGACTTGAACCCCATATGGGATGCTGGCGTCACAGGCAGCAGCTTAACTGGGGATGCCACAGCACCAACCCCTTGTGTGCATATTAGTAACTTTCCTAAAATTCCTTACTTCCCCATCCTGACCAAGTTGTACTCTGTTTAGATAAGTGCTGGATATTAATCTCAACTCCGTGGAAGCTTTTGCATGGCAGATCTGCCCTGGTCTCCAGAGCGGGTGGGGCGGGGCCGGTTCAGAGCAGCAGGTGGGACCCCACACTTCCTGCAGCCCAGCTGGGCTTCCTGTGATTTCTGAGAAACAAACTTGAGTTACCCCTCCTCCCCACGGAGGACAGAGGACCCTCTGACGCCCTACCCTTCTCACAATACGGTCACCCTGGGAAAATGGCTGCTGCTGGGATCAGCCACGCTTGCCCAGCAGCTGAAGGCACAGGCGGTGCACGGGCCTCCAGGAGCCGGGGGGAGGCGGCCGTCCCCAGCAGGGGCGGGAGGCCCAGCTTGGGCTCTGCTGCTCACTGCTCGTTCACCCACACCCCGGTTCTCAGGCTGCCGGACCCTGGCTGCTCTGGGAGTTGTGGCCTTGCCTGTCCCCTCCTCCTCTCCTAGAACCCACTGGGAAGTACACAGAGTTCAAGCCAGCGAGGTGGAGGGGACAGATGGCATTGCTGAGGTCACCGACCCAGGCTCAGAGGGGCCCTGGAACCTGGGAGACGCCCTGTGGGGGCCCTATTTCTCCCCCAGACGGTGTTTGGATTAGAGATGTGATAAACAGAAGCATGCAAACTGTACCCACAAGGAGAGCTAAGTGACTCCCCCTCAGTGGAATCTGGAGGGCCCGAGCCCTGCTTCCCTTCATCACACGCGCTAGGCGGCAGGCCTGGGGGCTCCCTGGCCGTGGATCCCCACCCTGCCGCCCCGCACCCCTGCGTGGCCACTCGCTCAACCCTGCAGTCACGAGTTTGTCTTCCTGGCCTGGACTGGGCCCTCCCCACCTCTTCGTCACAGTCACCTCTCCGTAGTCTGGCCCAGAGCCTGGCAGCAGTGAGAATTACACCTTGTCTGGGGCGACCCGGCTCTGAGTTTTGTCATTCACCATCTCTGCTCCATCATTTCAGAAGAAACCTGGCTGATTCCAGCTCCTATCGCCGCCAGGGAGGTGCTGAGCAGAAGGCAGGTGGGGGGGTGCCTGCAGCTAGGGGAGGAAGTGCCAGGGCCTGGGAGGTTGAGGCGAGATCGTTTTCCTGGTGTCTGGAGCCTGGAGTCGACATCCGGCACAAGTGCTGGGATCCGGGGAGGGGCCCCTTCTGGGTGTGCAGGGGCCTGGCGTAGGGAGAAGGTGAGAAGGGCCTGGCCCTGTTGAGAGCACCATGCCCAGCCTGGGCTTCAGCACTGTCACCCCCACGGTCGCGCCCCCCCCGCCCGCCTCCAGGATTTGTGGCTGCACTGAGTGGGTCATGACTCCACACGGGTGTACACTCATCTCGGTGACAGCACCGGCTCTGGAGTCACCTGCAAGAAGCGGAGGCTGCACGCGCTTTGCAGGACGCCCGCACCTGGGCTCCACTGCCACTCGCTAGACCCTGGCTTCCCGCTGCGGGACCTGGGAGGTGGCAGGAGGAAAGAGCGGGAGCGCAGAGCGCCGCATTCTGCAGGAGGGGCCCTGAGAGGCAGGGGGCACGTGTCACGCCCGTGGTGCCGGCACACTTCCCTGGGGCGTTCTCCAACTCAGGACGCGCACACAGGGCAGTGGACCCTCCCACAGCGCCTGAGGGCCCCTTCCCTATGCGGGTGCTGGAACCGCGCAACCCCGCACAACTCTTCCCACCCAGGGCCCTGGAGCTTCCCAGCCCACCTGCGAGGGGTAGAGGCCCTGCGTCCTTCCCCGGTCTGGGTACCCTGGCCGGGGGCTCTGGGAGCACCACATGCGGAGCCGGTGCAGGGTTGGCGGGAATGGGCTTAGAGTGAGGGCGAGGCTGGGAAGTAGCCGGGGGCTGGGCCTCCATCAGGGCCTGACGCTGGGTGCCTACAAGTGGAAGCAGGAACCCGGGTGGAACCACACTGGCCACGGAGGGCACGGATGCCAGTGCCCTCCTTGGCGTCTTCAGCACCAGGCCCCAGCCTCGGTTTTTAATGTATCGTATCTTTTTTCTGTACAAAGTCAGCTTTTATCTTGCCTTTTCTAACAAAGACAGAAGGCAAGCTCCAGGGTGGAGCCACGCCCGACATCTCACATACACACACACACACACACACACACACCCCTACTGGGTACAGCAGGTGTCCCAGGGGCTCCCACTTATGGCCTACTTGCCTCCGCCCTTATCACCTAGCTTGGTCCCTGTCGCTCACCCCTTGCTCGCCCAGCCATTCAAGGCCAGCCCTGTAGGAGGAGGCAAGAGGTGAGTCAAAACAAGCTGTCACTGAGATCCAAGAGCATGCTGGGAGACTTTATCTCCCTGGGTCCTTGAGAAAGACGAGTGTCGGGCAGGGGGCCCGGGCTCAGCAGGCAGATCTGCCCAGGAGCCTGGGGATGGAGCAGGTGGGGGCTCAGGAACGCCCAGAGCCCAGTGCGTGTGCAGCCCTTGGGAAGCCTCCAGCAGCTGCAGTGACCCAGCACGTGTAGGGGAGCAGGCGGTGGGCCAGGGGTCCCGAGGGTCTCGTCTGCTCAGAAGTCAGTTCTGCCTGCTTCCTGAGCGTCCTGGGGTGGGAACGCTGCCTTGCTGGTGTCTGTGTGTCCCAGAGGAGCCTGCAGTGTGGATCTGTGGACTCTTAGGCCCAGGACGTCCTTCTGGGGAGCACCTCTCGTAACTTGGGAGGACTTGGGCATGATTCCAGGGGTCTTGGGGAGGGAAGGGACACCTCTGACCCCTGACCATGTGTCCTACCAGCCCAGGGCTTCCTGTGGGACATTCTGGTTTTGAAGCATGATTTTTAGGGCTCACTGCAGTGCAGGGCAGATGCTGCCTTTGCAGAAATGGGCGCCCTTGAATCACCGTCCCCTGAACAGCACAGACGGAGGCTGGAGGAAGGGGATCCAGGACCGGGACACTTTGATGGGGTGAGGGCAGATCCCAGGGAAGAACATCGGTCCCCAGGATCAGGGCCGGAAGCCTTGGCTGTCCTCACTTCCTGCTTGGTGGGGAGCAGAACTCTGGGGATGCCCTGGCTCCTGGACGCCTCCGTGCGCGTGACGGCCGCGCGTGCTGAGGGGGACTAAATGTGTGTAGGGGCTGCTTGTGCGCCCCATGCTCTGGTCTGC